GAAGGCCGCTGGGCGCTGCCCTCTGATTGGTGGAGCGGACAGACCATGCGTGCCCGCACAAGCAGCACGTTCTGAATTACAACCGCTGTGGGCACCCTGTGGCTTTCTGTCCACGTATATGAAACACTAAGAACCCTGCAAAATGCGAAGGTCGTGAAGGTGGAGGAGCTCGTGCGTTGGGTCGGATGAGGTACGTTCTCATTCGTACTCCGCCCACTGGCCGCTACTCTCACTGACACTTGAAGATCTCATGCCAGCCTTGAAACTTTGTACACCTGTGTTAAGCCACATGCAATCTGCCTTCATTGTAGTCATTGTCAAGTTAAGCAGGTAGTACACGTACACAGTCTTAGTAGAAGTATACAAATACAATTTGTAGCTGTTTTATATGAGTGTGATTGAGCCAATATGTCCGTCTTACCCATAAGCATGCCGCATTGAGCTTGTCTTGGTTGACTGTCTTGAGAGTCTTGGCCAAGACCAGGCGTCTTCCCAAGACAAACGACATAGCTTGGCTAACACCGGATGTCTTGGGGTCTTGGGCGTCTTGAGCATGTTATCCAAGACGCTCAAGACGCTCCCCAAGAGCTGGCGGTTTTGCTGATGTAAGCACGGTCTTAAGAAGCACTCGGGACCAAAGAGAGACGACAAGAACAATAGCGCACTCTGTCATTATGACCCTTACTACGCTGGCTAGCATGCGACTAGTGCCAGGCGAGTAACTTACTGCAGAACGAAAGTGATAATGCAGCGGTACATCATGCGCGAACAAAGGGGACATCGGCGGCAAAGGATGAAGCTAAGAGGCCGGACTAGCGCGCAGACGTCATATCAGGGAATGTCGACCCGATGTGTCCGGCAAGTCCAGCGTCCGTCCGAGGCGCTATATATATAAAAAAGCGGACCGGTTGCCGACTGTTGCCGAGGGTGAGGGTAATCTTAAGCTCAAGCTTTACGCTTCTTGCTCCGCTGGAAACGACGCCCAGCTCGGGCACATCCTGTGTGTCATCGCTCCTTGCTTGAAAGATATCACCGTTTCTCCACGGGGATCGTGCAGACTTCAGGCCAGGCAGATGGGAACTGGATGTTGCCGGTATCGATGGAGTCGACGAAAGAGGGCCATTGGTGATAGATGCCGCGGGATCTATAGCGGGCGGAGGCGGCAATGCTAGCACCGTAGCACCGGAGGAAATATGCGTCGATTCAGATGGCTGCAGGGAATCGGCTGATGTGCCGACGTCGGAATTAGGAGGAGGAGGAGAGCCAACATGGCCAGCAGGATCGACAATCTCGAGTCGGCAGCGTACGGTGAGAGCATCCACACGCCGTGACGGCTCGAAATGCCAACACGCCTCCATGACATCCCACAGTGCGTCAGGGACATCCCTGCCAGATAGAGAACGTTCCTGGCCCTTGCCCTCGAGGATAGCTAATATCGCCTGACAGATGGCCAGGTCAGGAAACGGTATTTCACCCGTGTATATCTAGCAACAGATTCTGTCAGCACGCATCATGACTGACCGACCTAATTTCTATAAGCTTACCTGCCATGATACCTGTCCAAACGAATACATGTCACTGGCGGGTGTATGCCGTACACGCTGAAGCTGGAAGAGGGTCGGATCGATTATCTCGGGAGCCATGCAGCGTGTTGCACCGGGTAACGCTGAGCTGCAACTCATCGCCGAGTCTGCGAAATTGGCCAGCCCAAAGTCTGCCAGACGAACATCTCTGGCAACATCTACGAGGATTCTCCCCTAAACAACAAGTCTATCAACCAGGGTCAACTAACATCTGATTAGTGGAACGTACGACATGTAGGTCCCCATGGGAAACTCCTTTCTCATGCAAGTATGCCAGTCCCGACACCACTTGATAGATCTATCGAGACTATGAACGACGTTCACCCACATCTCGAACAGTGGACTTACCAATCGAATGGCGTCCTGAGAAAACCACCCGACTTTCGTCATGTATTGCATCACACTGCCGTAGCTCATCCAGGGGAGCACCACGCAGGTGAGGCCCGTGAGCGACTTTCGATCGACGCCTACCATTCGACAGATGTGTCTGTGTTAGCCTACGCCACGGACAAGCGCGATCTCTCTATAGAATGCCTATGAAGAACGCAGTCAGTGATGTGCCGCATCAGCCACAGAAAACCTAAAGCACCTTGAGATTCGTCCCATCGTCTTCATGTCGCTGAAACATGCGAAGGGACTTCAGCGCTACGGCCTTTCCTCCGTGTCGCCCTTGTAGATCTCCCCGTACGAACCGCCGTCTACAGGTCGGCGATCTCGATCTCTTAAGCGTACGTCCGATAGCAATAACCTGTGCGGGAGCTGGCGAGATACTTCGCAAATATATGCCGCAGCGAACGCTCTAATTCCGCTCCATGTTCCGACAGGTTTGCTTTGAATGGAAAGATATCCGAGGCGGCCGGCGGCGAGGGATGCAACATCCAAGTTGGCATATATTCTTCAGATGGCTGTGCAAAAGTAAAGCGGATGTAACCTACCAGATCGAGAAGGTTGAGCAGGTCGGCTGCAATGGGACCGCGGAGGCGTATGACTTCGCCTTTGTCATTGTCTGACATCGACTCTAGGAGCCCCATGATGTGCTCCTCGTCGCGAGTCAGTGCAGCCATAAACTCAGGATCAGCCCTGCCGAGAGTGGAGGCGAGCTAGGCAGCCTATCAGTGCAAAACTCAAAGCACTGTCGAATGACCTACGTGTAACACGGAACGGCGATGCTGTGCGGCAAGGAGAAGGTGCTCGACAGTGGGAGACAGAGACTGAGGCGGACTATTGCCGTCATTGGTGAGGGCTTCGAGGACTCGGTAGCTGCGGAAAGTATGAGCGTAGGCCCCAGCAATAAAGGTCTGACATACCTCGTGCTGGCAACATTATCTTTCAGTCTGCCGAGGCCGTATGCCCTTCTCGCCATAACACTGGATGTGTACTTCCGAAGCATGCACGTGAGAGGTCTGAAAGGTGTAGGATGAGCTGAATATACCTCATACACGCCGTGTGTCGCGGCACGGGGAAAGGGTTCAATGGAACGTTCAATCTCCTAGAGAGCATGCGACTCAGCGGTGTCGGTGCGCCGAATGAGCAATAAAGCATACCTCGGCACGAGAAGCGAAGAGCTTGAAAGTACTAGCGTGTCTGACACGGAGATGCAACCGGGCAATATTCTTCTGCAGGAAGATGACATTGCATTTCGTGCACTTCCAGCATATGTGACCTTCTGCAGATGCTTCTCTTGGGGCAATAATCTACGCGCTATAGCTTCAGCAATATCACTATCGTTGAAATGGCTTACTCACGTGTATGGACGATTCCTTCTTGCGGCGAAGCCACTTCATAACTGGCATGGTGGTGGTCGATGAGGGCCCGGTTTTTGCACATTGCCACCCGACGACTGCGACGGGCTGTGGCGAGTACAGACAGCTATGAGGATGTTGCGATCAATTCATTTGGGTGCCCTCAAGCGCCGGGGCGACCGGCATGCAAACCCAAACGACGCAAGAGTGTCTGCCGCATAGTGACGGCGATGGACAGCTATGCTCCAGGTGCAGGCGAGTGAAAGAGCACTTGCGGTGAATTTATAGCAAACCCTTTTCACGTTCGAATCTCCGTTAAAATTGTGCGCTAATTACCTTCTTGGCCATGAATCCGATGGAAGTTGAATACAGGCGCTTACACGAGAAAATAAAGATCTCTGCGCTAGATTCGTACCGTGAAGACCTGGTGTATCAGCCCGACGCTCAACAAAGAGCCTTGATCTGCTATCGCTAAGATCTCGTCAATCTGTACCACAGGATGCACGACTAGTCCAAGAAGCAAAGTTCAGAGAGGCGAACCAGTTTGGGGAGATTGGAGCGGATAGCTGAACAGCGTGTATCTTCTGGTAGATTCGGAGAACACTGACCTCTCATAAACCCCATAAACGCACAGGATGGCCTCCATTACCTTTCGGCTACCCGCTCATCCTCCGTTGCTTGGCCAAGTCTCGTTATCATAACTTCATGTCGAGCAGAGACATCGGGAAAGCTGCAGGTAGATTCCGGCAACGCAGATGCAGCGATGTCACAAACGTGCGGTATACGGCGTTTTACTCTACGCGGAACGCGTTATTCTGGTCTCGCGGTCTCTCCCGTCACTAGTTGAGATTCGAAAAGTATTGGAATTTGCGTGCAGCAAATATATGGATTACGCGTATTATATCTGTCGTACCACGAGTATTCTCGTTAAGATCGGGTAAGAATAGAACGGGATGTACGCACCATTAGTATGTATGGACGATCGGTACAGGGTTCACAATTCCCCGTGTCACCATATTCCAACGGATGCGCGCTGCCGTTTGACTCGTAGTGGAGGGCATGACTGCTGCGCTCTCGCAGCGTTGGCCCGCTCAAGTGCATGGAACAGCGAAGGGGTGATCTCGCTACACGGCCCAAAGTGGATGCAGCGCTAGAACGCGACGCTTTGCTCAGCAGGACGTGTGCAGATAGACGG